CCCCCCGGAGCTGGGGAGCTGTCAAATCGCTGTGGCTGGCAGCTCTGTCCCATGCTTCAGCTTCAGCCTGCCGCCGGGATCCTTAATCAGGAGCGTAGGGGCCCACCTGGGGCTCTTTGGGGCCCCTTGGCTGGTGAGTGACGTGTGCTGCTTTTGACAGTGGCCTTGATCTTCAGTTAGGCCTCTCTTGCCCCCAGGGACAGTCTAAACTGGATGAGGTGATGATTGTGGGCGGTTATTGATAATGCTTTGGGGCAGTGTGACTGCTTTGGGGGTTCATACGATCTGGTTTGCCTTTCCCTGTTGGTATTACTCTAGTCAGGGAGTTTTGTAACAGCATCATCTTCGAGCTGCCACTGACCTGTCCTCATCTCTTTACTCCAGGGCTTGTTCTGAGAGGTTTGGAAACCCGCTACTTTTCCTACTGTTGGGTCCAACTTTCTGAAGCTTGCTGCCAAAACTACCCTGCCTTTGATTTTAAAACTGTATTGCTTGTTTGGACCCACCTTTATCTGTGCCTCAGGTCCTAAGCAGAACTCCCTGCTTCTTAAATTCTAAAACTCTGGCAGGTTCAGTTGCATCACAGGCTGCTTGGGTGTTTTGATGTTGTTGCCTTTAGGGCTCAGTCAGTGCCAGCTTTAGAATCCTTTCCTTTAAACACTTTCCCATGGGACAAAACAAGTTAACCATCACTCTTTCCAATGGCCTTTATTTCTTAGTACTTCCTGGACAAAACTGCAGGAATCACTTGGAAATAAATTGAGTTGTTGGCATTTTGTTACAAAAGTTCTAGTTTATGCTGGGTGTGGAGGCACACACCTTTAATCCCAGCACTTGGGAGGCAGAGGCAGGTGGGTCTCTGTGAGTTCAAGGCCAGCTTGGTCTACATAGCAAATCCAGGCCAGCTGGAGGTACAGGGAGACCCTGTCTCAAAAAAAGACCAAAAAAAAAATGTTCTAGTTTATTTCTCCTCACTTTAGAAGCAAACTTGTCACAGTGTGGAGGTGGTTGGCAGCTCTCAAATGAAAATCTTGTGTTGAAAATGTCTTTATTATAAAGAATGAAAACAACAAATCTTAGATACTTCAAGTTGGGAACATGAACCAGTATAACTACAGAGGAAATGCCTCACTGTCAGTGTCACTTAAAAATTGTGGCTGGACCATGGTGTGGCATACCCTTAATCCCAGGCCTCAGGAGGCAGAGGCAAGCAGATCTCTGAGTTTGAGGTTAGCCTGGACTACATAGTAAGTTCCAGGCCAGCCAGAACTACATAGTGAGATGCTGTTTCCTCTCTCTCTCTCTCTCTCTCTCTCTTTTTTCTTGCATGTGTTACTAGTTGGTGTGCTTTCTAAAAG